CAAACTCTTGTGTTTGTGTGTTTATGCCTTGGATTGTAGTAGTTTTGTTACGGTTTCCATATTACCGCTGCTAAAAATCTTCTTTTCGTCGCTTTGCCCATATTTTCCGCACCACATTCAATGCTTTTACTTTCCTGCTACGTTTGGTGGGGCTAGTATGAGTTGGCTCGCATCACCTGGAAATTAAGAACGGTCAATTTGTATGCTATTCTCGTTGCTATTCTTGTTGCCTGATGTATGTTTACTTTTTCACTTTATTCGCAACGTGAATTCTCTCAATTTGCTGTGAACATTTCGTTCCGACATCTGCGAATTTCGCAACCCCGCGGTTTTAATTGTGTGACAGCCAAGGATGTGAAGGTGTCAAATGACAGTGCTAATTAATAATAATTTATTATGAGTGTTGTTGTTTGACGTGCTTGTGCCACTTTTACTTTGATGAGTTGACTCACTACCTCGAAATTTGGAGACTCGTACGCATTTAAAAGTCGACAAATAGCACGAAGTCAGTTGACGAAATGCATAATAATACGAAATAACAAAAAAGCAATTATGCAAACCTTTTTTCCTAAAAGTTATTATTAACCTTCTGTCCCTGCCTTCAGGGACCTACTAAAAGTAACCCAAAAATGTTTGTACATCAACCATTTGATTAGCATTATAGTATTTAATTTGTTTTTTAGAAAAAAAAGTTGCAGCCTTTGAAAATTAATCAGTTGTAGAAATGGAAGACAGGAAAATGTAAAATAAAAATGTTGTTTGGACGCTCCGCATTTCTCTGTATCTCTTTAACACCTACGAGTTTCGCTCCCATAAATTTTTACATTCTTGCCGCTATGAGAACAGTGAGTAAACAATAACACAACTTCTGAGAAAACCCCATGACTCATGTAATCTTATAAATCTGTACGCTTCGCGAATACTGCAAATATTTTACACATATGATTCATAATCAAGTGTATAGAGCGATAATATCAGCATTTGCTTTTCCAAATCCTCTGCCGTGCGTTGAAAAGCTTTCGATCAATTGCTTTTAACTCAGTCACTGAGATTGTTTGCCGCAAGTTTGGACCGACTGGATCTGCCCACATGAGTCATTATATAGTACATCATCTATTTTACTTTCTAACCTGTTTGAAGAGTCTACCTAATTGTTTACGGTTCTCTGCAGATATCAAGTTTGATAAGCAAGTATCTCTTTTAAAAACTATAAAAAGACTGAATATATGTTCCATTGTTTACTTCGTCGTGCCACACGCGTATCTCTATTCTTCCAACGATGTTGTTGTCAACTGTCAACTGTCATTTTGTTACCATTTTATTATTAATTTTTTTCTTTTAGACTACTTGAAGTTATTTCCGTAATCGAAGGTCAGTTAAATGTGAGTGAGTAGAGTTATATGAGTGGGTTGTCGCTCGTCTTAATCTTATCTATAAAAAAAAGACACTAACAACTTGCGTGAGCATAACATAATTAAATAGGTTATTGAAAACTGTATTTATAGCTTTAGTACGTGTTAAACATATGTACCGTTTAATACAAATACAAGACTTTTCTAGTTTAGAACCAATATCAGTTATGAAAATCCACTGTAATAAATGGGTATTACTGGTAATCAGTTAATAGATAGGCGCCAGATGTTATCAGTACAGGAAATATGTTCTTTAGGGGCATATCTTACGAGTACATATCTTAGTTATTGCTTAAAGGACCGGTAAAGTTCCTTTAGAAACATCTTAGAGGCTAAAGATTTCGTTAAATTTAATTGCATGCTGAACATGCACAGTACATATCTTAGTTATTGCTTAAAGGACCGGTAAAGTTCCTTTAGAAACATCTTAGAGGCTAAAGATTTCGTTAAATTTAATTGCATGCTGAACATGCACAGTATTCGGCCATATTGGTATCATTTTAGACCTCGAATTAAGTATCTATGGGCTTAAATGATTATATGACGGACATCTGGCGCCAACACTGCATTTTAAAAACACCTCATCGCTTACATATGTATGTAGGTATTTGCGCAGATGCCCGGCTTACCTGTTATTCTTATTATTTCTACTCATTGTCAATATCCGTCGGTTTTGACAATATCATATCAGCAACAAGCTTTTCATATTTCCAGACAGACATATGTACATTTATTTGAAAATATTGCTAAGAGTTGCCACATGCCAAAGGCAATTATCACTGGCTCGATGGTGTCGTGACCAGCCGGCGAAATTAGCAACATCTCGGCCACGGTAAGAGGAGGGAAAGTAAAAATAAAGACGAATAGTAAACAAAAAAAGAAGACTAACAAGAAAATAAATTCCTTGTAAAATATAATCAAATCAATTAGTCAATTTGAGTGCAAAAGGTCGTTGTCTTGCGTTGCTGGCAGTTATAGGCATAACCAAGATAACGGAATGAAATATAGCAACACTCCGTGTGTGACCCCGCAGCTGCTAACGCTGGTAAACGTGAGGCGTTGGAAAGTTGTGCAACAGATTTTGTAAGAATATACCGGGAATACAGCCAATTTCTGCACTTATGAGAGTGGAATTTTTAGTCAACCATGTCTATGACATTACTAATTTTATCAAATCTCCATTGCTCATTCACTTATATAATCGTGCTAATTTCGCCTCCTTTTGTAAATACTCCATTAACTTGAAACGGCTCGTCTATTAAATAAATTACATCATTAGTCTTGCTCGATGAGCTTTATTGATGGAAAAATTTGCCCCTTTCAAGGGATGTAAAAAAAGTTGTAAATGCACTCAATATCGTGTAACACCCGCCACTGTACACTGGTACAAAAACAAAAATATGTAATTTGTTGCGCGTGCGGTTTGTTCTATTTTTGATATCAATGTGTAGTAAACAAAAATATTAATACAATTGCGGCATTCTGCTCACGACAGCAATTGAGCATGTTAAACACAGTATAACACCACAAGTTGTGTTGCTGAGTAGCAAAAGTACGTGAGTGGTGAGAAATACTCCACATTTTAGTTTTGCTGCGAGGACGTAGAAAAATAATCGTGTGTCGGCCTTCGTCTTTGCCGCACCTAAAGTGCTGTCAACAAGTGCTCAGTTGACTCCACGCACATACCTGACTGTGTTTTGGGCGATTAATAGCGCCTGTCCAACAACCTATGCCACCCAAATTTTGACAGCTAAATAAGCCGCGGTGCAGGGGATTTCATGCCGCATTAATTATTGCTGTCGATGTGTGCAAGAATATGCAAATTCAAAGCAATATTTCAATGCCTCTTCTGGTGCTTTCATGAAGAGTTTACTCGTACGTATAAATATAGTCAGTGTTGTTGAGAAATCTGATTGTTGTCGGAAGCAGAATTCAAACCGTTAAAAAGTTGAAAAAGATGTCTTGAATACTGATATTATAGGTTTGATGTTCGAATCAGAATTTGTATTGCTTTTCATTTCGGTATCATGGAAACCAATTTTATCGGTTTTTCTTACAGCAACAAACCAAGATACTCAGTGCAGATATATTTGAAATATTACGCTTTAAGTGATTTCCATTTTCAATTAAGACACTTTAAAAAATTATAAAAGTATCGTTAAAAAATATAAACAAAACGTAAAATATCGTAGTTAGTGGATTCAAGGGAAAATTCGAAAGATTCTAAAAGGTTTCACGAAATGTGTTAATCTAAATTTTCACAGAAAAGCTTAATAAAACTTATGATTCCTCTTGGACATCACATCAACCTTGAGTAATCTAAATCTATATACAATTTGAAAAACACACTCCCTCTCCCTAAATGTCACTTTGCAATATCCTTGAAATTTTTTGAGAGCTATTAATGTTGCTTGTCTTTTACAAGCCATCTCTCTGACAAGCCAACAGCACTGATATGTGTTAAGTTCACAATAATGACTTAAGGCTACGTTTACACCAATAGTGTGATAATCACAAAATATACCCTCATAGTACTAGTGTAATAATTATGTGTCTTTATGCAGTACATTTCTTAGCGGGTGTGTAAGAGCACATACAGCTGCACATGTACATCCATTTGTTTGTAAATGTCTGATGCATTCAGTAGCGATAAAAATACTACTTTTATCCATTTTTTGTTTTTGAGCACTCGTATTGCACGCCTCGAATGGGCGATTACCCACTCACTGAGCTTTTACACGCTCTAAGTCGCAATGGCTGAGTGCGAGAGTTAGCCCGGCCGAATGAATGACTGATTGTTGATTGCTCGCGCGGCCTAGTGCTAGCGAACAGTAGAAATTCGACTACACAAGAGACACCTTGTTGGCGCGGCACAAGCGACTCGTGTACCAGTAAACGCTAAAGCAAGCCAGTGAACGCGTCCGCTTACGCACGTATTTTGACGAAAGTCTTGACAACAGTCGCGTAGTTTTTGTTGCGTTGCGGTGTGTTTCGGGGGAAAAAGGGAAACGCGTTAAAATACTCATAGAAAACAAATTTAACCTGAGTGTAACAATAAATTATATGCGCATTAATTTGTGATATCGTTAGATTTTGTCGTGCCTTATCGCTTTGTAGGCATTCAGTAGTACGCGAGTATCTACTTACGAATAATCTGACCAAATACAATATACTTGCATTAATAAAAACAATTTAACCAAATGTGCCGTGAGTGTAGCTATTTAGAAATCGCTAAGATCTCGAATCTTAAAGTCAAGTGACGTAAACAGTCTTATCAGCTTCGCAAATTATATAGAAAGAGCGCAATCTGGGCGTGTCTCAGTCGTTATAGTTCCTTATTATCTGTAGTGTTTTGGTGTCATATAATGCCGAATCTACGCATCCAAAACAACAACAAAAATACTGACAATAGCAACACAAACAATGTTCAAGCCACAAACAAAATACGAACGTTGCGCAAGTTGATAAACTTAACTCATAATCTTAAAAATATCAATAATAATAATCATAGCCAGAATACCAATCCAAATCGCAACCAAGAAATTACCACAAGTAATCCACACGTACATAACCATAATTATCGTGCAGATCGCGTTGCTGAATATTCGGACGAGGACGAAGAAGGAGAATTCAGTTCTGGTGAATTTAACGATGACGCCGCCGAGCTAGGTATCCCCGGTTACGATCCCAAGCGGGACTACAATCCGAGCAAGCACGATATGCGCAAGTATCGCAAACTGCAACGCTCCGAGGTGGAAGACGTCGCTCTTGGCACCAACCCAGTGGATAGTGACAGTGAATTTGAGATGAAGGACAAGAGCTCGTCACGGGCGAAGATCAGTCGGGTAAGTACATTAGCGGAATGTATAGAGTGCCGCACAAACCTACATGCATGTGCATTTTCAAATTAGCCACCGTTCTTGGCAAGAACGCATAGCCGTGTGTTGTTTATACATTTTTCTTGAAGAATGTGCCAAAGAATTTGTTTGGAAAACAAGTTAGGGAAATGCGAATTTCTTAGACAGAAGATTGCGAAAAATTACTGAATGAACAATTTAGAAACCTTCATATGTTAAGCATTCTAACAGAAAACTCCGATATATATTTGAGACAGTTATATTAATTAAAAAATATTCTAACATTGTTAAAATTGCCTAATTTGCCATTAACAGATGATGTGCAAAAGAATTCAAGTGCGGTCATTGCCAGTTTATTCTTTTGCCGTTGGCTCTTGCGATATAAACCTATATACCTGTGGGTATTTATTTAATTTAAAAATAGACCTATTATTCATATTATATTGTTTATGGGTTTATGTGGTATCATATTCAATAACCCATGCCAAATTTTTTGAATATATCTCGTCAAATGAACAAGTTTTTCATACAAGCACTTGATTCCGATAGTTCAGTGTGTATGGCAGGTATATGCTATAGTACTCCGATCTGAACTATTTTTTCGGAGATTGCACCATTGCCTCAGGCAATAATCCATCCCAAATTTGGTGAAGATATTGATTCCGTTTTTCCGCCTTTTTATTACTGTTATTATGTTGGGTTTATATGCTTTTTAATGCCCAGAAATCACACAAAGTTTGATTTGTTAACATACACACAAACAATATAAAGGTGGTTAATGAAAATCGCAGCGGAACATTTGCCAGGTCATCACCAGGAATTTATTATTTTTATACTCTTGCAACATGTTGCTACAAAGTATAAGAGTTTGAGATTGTTTGTATCACCTAAAAATAATCAAGTTAGATATATTGTTCTATATATACATATAGGTATATTAAATGATCAGCATAATGAGGCGAGTTGATATCCGAGTGACTGTCCGTTCCTCCGTCCGTATGTCCATCCGTCTATGCAAGCGATAACTTGAGTAAAAATCAAGATATCTTAATGCAACTTGGTACCCGTGTTCCTTGGCAAACCAATGCCACGCCCACAAAACTTCATTAATCGGGAACCTATAAAATGTCATAACTAAGCACTAAATTAAGATATAAACCAATTATTTGGTATAAGGGATTGCAGTAGCTAGGGGCACCTGTGAACTAAAAATTTTGAAAAAATGGGCGCTGCCCCGCCCTCTAATAGGTTTAATGTACATATCTCCTAAATCACTGGATATACAATAACCAAATTCGCTTGGAAGAAATGCCTACAGGGGGAATCCCGCTACCTCCCAATATAACGGTTTTGTCAAAAATTAATTAAAGCACGATAAATCAATAACCAAATGCGCCAGAGATATTAAATATTACACCTAGGATTATACTAGAGAGCTTTATAGGAGCCGTGGTCAAAATTGGACGATAGGCGTGGCACCGCCCATATTTAGGTGAAATCACATATATTCGGACCTACTCCACCAATTTCAACCAAATTCGGTATATAACATAATCCAGACGATCCTATGTCACAAATAGGCGAAATCAATCACGCCTACTTCCCCTCTACTTCGGATAAAACTTTGTGCCATTGAGAGGTATTCTTGCACGTTGCAAGAGCATAAAATGTTCGGTTAAATCCGAACTCAGCCCCTTAGCTTTGTAAATGTAAAATGAAGTCTTTATGAAAATAATAATTATACAGCTACGTAGGTGTCGTGAATACTAGTGAAAAAAAATACAAATATTGCTAAAATAGGAGATAGCATGAGTGCTGTTAACGTAACCATATTTCCAGTTAAACTATGAATAATAATAATACAATTGCTTTAGTAATATTTTTTTATAGGCATACCGATGATTTGCCCCCTCGTTATTGGTAATCGCAATTTAAAAAAAAACAACGTGCTTTAGAACTGTTTTTGTTTTTTCAGTAAAAACTGATTGATATCGCGTTTATGTTTTCAAATGTAAGATGAAAATGCTTGGGCGCACGAAACGCCCAGGTCATCTGAGCTTTTTTTTGATGTGTTTGAGACAGCAGCCGTGTAGTGGCCACAATAAATCTCTATACCAAACTACTATTATGGAAGTCTTAAGTGGGCTCAGACTCATTAACTTCCCTGCTCGCCATTTTTTGCTATTCAAATAAAATTATGATATTATATAATGCATTTCAAGCGCTAAAAGAACAAAACATTAAACCGATTTGGAATTCATGCAGGAATAAAAAGCGCCAACATTTCCGCTTTAAGCCTACTAAGGAAACTCCCAAACACACAATTCATTGTTCATCGGGTTGCTCCCAAATTCAAATTAGACTTTTCTTTGTTAACGCAGAGACTCAGCAATGCATATTGGCACGGGTGGCTTGCCTTCATTATGCAAGCGAATTTTAAATACAAATTAGGTTCAACAATTTATCTAAGTAACTTTGTTTTTGTTGGAATCCTATTAGTGAAAGTTTGAAAGCAGGCAAATTGTAATTTTCGTTTAAGGTTAGGAGTGCTGGCGGTAATTGGAAGTTTTCAAACCGTTTTATTATCCTACCTTGTTCGCTATGGTATCTGCAATACTATTTTCAATATTGAAGTAGATACCTCGAGCGTCCAGCAAAGAATGTGGTCGTTACAAAGTTTTGTTTATATACACATTGTAAGTATATGTCAATATTTGTGCCTCCCCTGCTGCATGCACCATCGAATTCATTGGAGCGCATCTTTGCCGTAGGCTGCAGAAAGTGTGAAAACTGATTTAATATAATTTTAATATGCCTCTAGGGCCCTTTTTATTTATGTATACATAAATATGCACAGGCACACATATTCATACATACATACATTTATGATTCATTTGGTGACCGACGCAAAACCGTAGACCGAATCAGTTGAGAAGATCTACCTTATGAGATCGTCTTATAAATGAACACCCACCACCGCTTCTACCGTCTGTGGACGTGTGTATCCGCGAAAACTGTATTATTCCCGTAGAAACGAGTCAGCTGATTGATCTGTTACAACGCAGGGTTGCCAGTCCCGATATTTTGTGGTAATTAAAACGTAAACTTGAATTTATTTGAAATATTCTTAAACTAACTCAAAATCACAGTCGAATACTATGCTTTATTTTATATTATGAACAAGTTTGGATGGGCTAAGTTCGGGTGTAACCGAATATTATATACTCTTGCAACTTGCAAGAATCAAAGCCCGCGAAATTCCTTGAGGTGTTGGTAAAACTTAATATTAAAAAATTTTGCGAAATAATTAAATATCCATTATTCGATGCCACAGACTAATAAAATGCTACCAGGGTTTCTTTAAGGTACCTCACATACCATCACCACTCATATGTAGTAAAGTCAGCCGGATGTTCGAAAATCCTGATTGTAGTTGTATATGGGGGCTAGGTAAAATTTTCACCTAAGTTTAGCCATTTTGAAATAATCAGATGGAATTTAAAATTATATTATGTGTGAAGTAGGCGTGGTTGTAGTCCAATTTCACACATTTTCACACTGTCAGACAAATGCTATACACTGAATTTGGTGGAAATCGGTGATGTCGCAATAATATAAAAATTATAACTGAAAAGCTAGATGAGTGCAAAACCATCTATACGAATTGAGCATTGGCAAAATTGAACCACTGATTTCCACATTGTCACTAAGAGTATAACTTTTGATAAATGTCGTTAGATACGGACAGGAAGTACGAAAAGGCGACACGTCGGTTATTAATTTCAGCATAACTTTTTTTTTTTGCAAGTAAATTGGCTGTGAACGTTCATGAGACGCCAAAACGCCAACATAATTTATGTGAACGTACATACGTACATATGTATGTATAAGCATACGCACATATAGATATGTGTTGTATTATTTAATACACATGCTTAGTTGAAAAGCATGGTTACCGTCGTAATTTACAGGTTACCATTTCTACCAGCACTAGACATATACATGTATGTATGTATAATTGTTTGCTTTTAATCTACGCAGTGTTAAGTGCCAATTGTTGCAAGCAATTTATATAATTAACTGTTTCAGCCCCTCAAGGGTTTTGTGTGTTGTTTTTCACCGTCATGTTCTTGGGGTCTTTCGTGTGATGTTGACACGTTAATTAAGTTTTGATACTTAATATTTCAAACACTCACATTTCGGTTAGTTGGTGCCTGTTTCTCTTTCACTTCACGTCGCCCCGCTGACGCCGGTCGTCCTATTATTAGAAGTGGCTATTACGTATATTTAATACATGAACCTTTGTATGAATATGGGTCATTGGTAAGGGTCTCGCATTTTTTGTTGACGTACCCACCGACCTGTGGGGGATCTCCGTGATTTTTTCTTTGATTTTTATTTGCTTCTACATGCGTACACACAAACTTATTTATTTACCCTAGAATGGCAGAAATCTAATTAAATGCATATTTGCGCATTATTGCGGTTTCTTTTTCGGCGGCTTTCTACCTTGACTTTGGTATTTCAGCACGGCCTCAAATAACGCTTTGATTAAATTATTATTTTCTGGCGTTTGGTGCCTTGTAGCCATTCCTATCTTTTGGTCACTGGGAATGTACTTATTTTTATAGAAGATAAATCGGTAAATCATTAGAATTTTGAATCTGTCAACCATTGGTTACCTTCTTTGGAAAATTTAAAAATAATAAAGTGTACTCAACCGTAAAGGCGCCTATGTTGTGGCTGTTGCCTGTTCTTTCTTTTATCTGTATTTTTTCCGAAAAAGACTTTGTCACTCATTAAAAATTTTACCGAAGACAGAACACCTGGCAGAAATTTTTGGAGACACTACAGTAATCTGAATCAAATCTATAATACTCTTAATTATATTCTTACATTTAAGAAGATAAAGATATAAGAAGCGTGAAAAATATGATCTGCGAAACATTCTCTGGAGGAGAATCATACGAAAGAGGAAGGGCTAATGTGGGGTTACGACCGTAAACGGTTTAAAGTCGTAATCCATCTCCAGAGGAACAAATTCCGGCTGCTTGTCGCGTTTTACACCGGTTATTGCAGGCTTAAGAAGCATCTCTTCAACATGGGCTTAGCCTCCTCTGCAAACTGCCGGTTCTGTGACATGGAGCCAGAAACCCCAGAACATCTTCTAATGAACTGCACAGCAGTCTGCAGATGCACTATCAAAGCTCTGGGATCCATGTTTTCAAAGAGGGATTGTATCGTTTCACTAGCACCCAGCAGAATATTGGATCTTATCAACATGCTGGAGCTAGATGAGCTGAAATGACTCAGGGGAGGGCACAACAGACAAATTATTTAATCTCAAAAGTTTCGAAGTAAAGTTGTGAAAAGTCCATTAACCTAATTGCCTGTGAGGAATAGTTTAAATTGCATACCTTTATAACCTTAGACTTGCACACAAACACAAATACATAAAATTTTAGAAAATCGCTTGGAAATCAATTCAAAGCTCCTGAATTATTTATTTGAAAACCACTTCAATGCACTTGGAATTGTCAAATAATTAAGGAACAGTAAATTGTTCGAAACAATTACGTACTAGTAGGGCAATCTGTTTACGTCAATCAAAAAAGATGGCTGTATGTATGTACTTCAGACTACCGTTAGGTTCTCATGTTCCAAAGCTAATGGCAAGTTAGTCGCTGTTCTACAGTCTTATAGCTTAAAATAATAAATCTTTTCGATTTTTTTTTTCGTTTATGTGACGCTTTAGGAATTTTTAGCTACGTGCTCTTATAGGAATAGCACTTCTATTATTGATTAGTTTTGACATATTTTATTGGCAATGAAGAGCAGATGAGTTATTTTCACTTCGTTTTCAATTTGTTTCTCTTTTGCAGACAATTTCATTACAACAACGTAATTTCAAGCAAAAAATTGTCGCGTTGCTGAAACGTTTCAAAGCCTCCGAGGAGTTGGAGGGTGAGGTGAGCCGTGGCACGGCAGCTCTTCGTGGCGAACGCGATTTGGATGCACTCTTCCAGGAGCTCGAGTCGCTGTCATGCTGCGAGGGCGATGATTCTGGTCCCGACATGGACAGCTTGTCAATTGGCTCGACACCAAAACCTTCGCTGCGCCCATTTTTCACCAATTCGAGGATAATGCTGCACGACAATAGTGTCGGTGGTGGTAAGTTGTTAAAAGGAGGGATGTGTATTGAAAACAACAAACTCGTTATGGTTCGTTATGGTAAATGGATGAACTCTTTTAACTACTTGAGGATGTATTTTGCTGTGACATAGGAACACATACGAATATACATAGCTACTTTGAAACTTCGAATTTAAAATATATTCAGATTTAAAATTATTTGAAATATGCCTGAAGTAATTTTACTTTATTGTAAGATTCTTTAGTTCACATTCAATATTCATTTTTGGTAGGGTAGGTCACTTTTAATTTTGTAAATTTACGGCTTTGGAAAAAGTAATTAGAGCTCAACGTATTAACACTCCTATAGCTTTGAAGTTGTAAAATATTTAAATGAACTGATATTTTTGTGATATTTACCTATACATGTTATACATAACCCTATAACGCACTGAGACATAACTTCATCCAATAACTTTTAGTTTCTAACCATATAGACTTTTTTAACACTTATTAAACGTTTCGTCTTCATTGCTAATAAGTAAATAGTTCACAATTGTTCCATAAAGCATAACAAGTGTCTGTGGGAATTGTCAAAAGTCATTAATTTCGTTTTAATTACTTAAGAAGGCTTGATTGCTTCCCCATAGACTCATTTGTTGGCTTGCCCTTGGCTAAGCATCACGCCGCAGGGGTCCAACAGCCGTTGTTAAATATTGAGTTTAACTGACTTAGAAAACGTACTGCTGCAATGTATTGATACAGTATGACTACATTTATACATCGTCGGTATGCAGCGTCAAACAACATTGCAAAATCATGCGTTGTATAATATGGCGTTACAGGACACTTTTACTGCAAAGTTTACTTTCGCAATAAGCTGTTTTGTTTTTTCGAGCGTATTAAGACAAAAAATGTTAAAAATTAAAACCAAATAGTTCAATTATAGATAATTTCTTCCGTTTCATCAAAAATACAAACGCAACATAGTATAAATTAATAAAACAACAACAAACATATGAAAATGTCAAAAACATCAACTTTATTTGTGAAGCGTGATTTTCTCTGTCAAAATATGATGCAATGTCAAAAATATTTCGAATGCATTACAGAACATTGTACTTTTCTTATAATTGCCGTGACGTTTTCGAAGTCAGCCTATGTACAAATTTTGACAATATCCCTTCAAGAATAAAATGTTTTATTCAGTTTTCATTAAGAAATGTTTTGAAAAGTGACTCATTTTAAAAGAGCTCTTAGCAATTGTACAGCAGAATAGTATGAAAGGAAAAAAGACATCCTCCAAAAATATTAAAATTCTAAGATGTGAAATCTGAGACCCAAAACATGTGGGCGAATTTGTCAATATTTTCACATTATGAACGTTGACCTCCTTAATATTCTCTAAACGCAAAGCTGTTGCCGAAGCTCAGTGCAGAAGCGAAAGCAGCGCCAACAATAAATAAGTTAAACGAAAAATGGACAATGCTGCTTGGTTCAACTGTAAACAACTTACTTTAGGCGACGGCTTTATTTTGCTCACCACTACAGCAACAAAATGTCGCCATAGTGACCTCAACCCGGTCAGGGTTGAAAGCTGTTGCACTGGTGAGCAAGTGCCGTACAAGGGCATGCAAATGATGAAGGTTGCACTGGCGCAGGATGAAGGACTAAACAGCTTCGTCCTTATTCAAAAAAAAAAATTACAATGCCCGACAAATGACAGAATTGAACAAGGATGAAATTAGTAAGGCCGGTTGGCATAACATGTATGTTGCGGCAGCCGTACGAAGAGCAAAGCGAATTTGGTTTTCTAGTAAAGAACTAATAGTAAAAGTAAAATTAAAAGTACGAAGTAGTAGTGCCATATTTGTGACTGCGTTATATTAAATTGTACATTTTGTTGCGCTACTTTTTTCTGATCGTTTTTACAATCGATTTATATTTGGTATATACATATGGCATATATTTCACATTTTGATAACGATTATATGCATATCACTGCTAAAGCCGGTGTTTATGAAGCTTTTAGATTGTATTGTTATTAATATTTATGAACTATTACTCTGCCTTGAGAAATCGCAGTTCTTTCTGAGGCAGAGGCGTTCTCTTTGAACAGCTTGCCTTGGACTTAACTCTGAAATTCGAAAAAAGAAACACAGAAAGACTTTAACATTGTTTTACCTTATAAATCTTTTCGCATCCCAAGATTTAAAATTTTTTCAAAATCAAATCATATACTATAAGGCAATTGAAGTCGACTTAGTTGAGGTGTAAAAACAACTAAAGGGTAAGGGTAATAATGGAGACTTCTCAGTAATACATTTTCTAATAATTTTTAACTTTGCCGCTAAACTTAGCTAACGCAACGACGCAAAAAATATTTTAACATAAATACAATATATTTCCGTTTACATACGAGGTGTATTCAAAAGAAAAGGTGAGTTTAAATTTTTGGCGGGGTGTGTACATTCGATTATCAATATTTAGTTTCTGTGTTAGTCAGACACATATGTTTATCATTCACTTGCATTAGGAGCCAATTTCGATTAACAGTTTGTTTTTGACAACAGAACAGGTTAGACACGTTTCTGTGTGCTCTTCCATTTTCGAGTTTTGAAAGAAATGGATAAAAGAATATGTATTAAATTTTTCCGTAAAAATGGAATAAAGTGCTCCAAGGCACTTGAAATGTTGACTGTGGCATTCGGTGAGTCCACTTTGTCTCAAAAAAGTGTTCATAAGTGGTACAAGCGCTTTACAGAAGGCCGAGAAGATGTTGATGACGATGAGCATCCTGGAGGTGTGACCACGTCAACAAGCAAAGAAAACATTGAAACAATGAAAAAAATTGTTCCTAAAAATCGTCGAATCACTATTAGGGATGTTGCAAAGGATGTTAGCATATCAATCGGCACATGCCATTAAATTTTCTCGAATGTTTTGAAATTGCTAAAATGATTTTTTTTGCTACTCCCAAAAGTGAAAAAACCAATGAAAGGAAAACGTTTTGCCACAATTGATGAGATCAAGTCAGAATCGAAGAAAGATCTGATGGCCATGCCGAAAAGCGCATTTCAGAAATGCTTCGAGGATTGGCAAAAGCGTTGGCACAAAAAGTGTATTAAAACCGAGGGGCATTACTTTGAAAGGGACAAAATAGATATTGATGAACAAATAAGTACTTTTCAAAAAAATTCAAAATTCACTTTTTCCTTTAAACACACCTCGTATAAGTATGTAGTACATTTATAAGCATCATTCATAAATTCTTTATTAAAATTTAATTTTACCACAACTTTTCATTATTCTTGCTTGTTGCATTTTGCCAACTAGAGACTAATGTGTCTAACGGTAATTTTGTACATATACAAATATTTTGATTAGAGTGCAGTAATGGTAACACTTACTAACCTCTATGACGTATGTTATTAAGAAAATATAAATACATAATTTAACATTAAATAATCAATTTGTTTTAAAATTTGAGCTATTAACTTCTAGCGTAACCGTAATGTGAATCACAAAGTACAATAGTGATTAGCTAGTATCGTGGTATCGTGGTTTGCAGCATCCTACCATTTGTTATTTATTCTGCTTTAATTATATTAGATCATACATATGTACATCCGTATTTTTATCCAGCTAACTTTCATGAGCATTAGTTTTTAAGTATTCATAATTTATACTTATACATTGAAACATACAGTATGTAAATTGATATTTGGCGTAATTGACTATAATTATTAATTGAATTACTTATGTATTTGTTTCGATCGATTGAAATTGCATGGCTTGAATGATTTCTTTTGCAGGCAACTTTGAACGCAGATCATCGGATAAAAGCGACCAATTGACCAATTCGTCATTCAATTATGATAATACTAGACAAAAATGCATTCATTTAACAAACAATAACAATAATTCGGCAACAACACCAGGTCTGTGTAAATTCTCTCTACCAAAAACCATAAAAAACTAAAACATTAATCAACATAATACAAAAAAATACAAAATACAAAAATTAGTTAATTTTTTAATTATTCTGTATCTATCTACTTGATTTCCTTTGCAATATGAATGATTGAATTTCTTAAAGTACCCAACCACAATTTACCTTACACGCCTTTCGTTTAATTCTTTCTTTATGTTTCCTTTTTCGTTTGCTGAATATAAATAATACTTTATGATTATTATTACAATATTGGCTTCCTATTTGTTATATTATTTCTTGAGTTCCTAAATTATTATGCTATTTTATTTTATTTTATTTTTGCAAGTGTACACTCAACATAACAAAGACACCCCTCTACACCTAATGAATATTCGTTCATCCCACCTATTTACTTTCGAAATTATTAATCCACACGAAATTAAATGAATGTTCGCCCTTTGTTAGAATCCTATCACTTTTATCTGTTGAATTCTGTTTCATTTGCTACGTACGAGTAATTTGGAGCGTATGTATATGCTGCTGATGGTCGAGCGACAAAATTTGAAGGAAAATGTGCAATAAACCAAAATTATGTAATGAGTTCATAAAAAAACATTTAGTGACTTTAAATAAGTTTTCCTAGAAAGCAAAACTGCAGTGTGTGCAGAAAATGCGAAATTTCGAATCAGGAGTCAGTAAGTTTCTTTCCTAAGTCAATATATATATATATATATATATATTTTTGGAGTCTATATACATAAGTATATATATTTGGAGTCTGTACTGACGGCTCAGGTTTATAGCGTATCGAAGGCTTGAGAAATTACAAAATAGTAATCAATGTCTTATTGGCTCGTCATTTAACATACCAGGGAAGATTAGGAAATTCAAAGTATTTTTTTTCGCTCTCCATTATCAGCAATGCAATTCTTGGTCAGGTTTATTGTATTCACAATAAATAATTTTATTATTGTACTTTATAAATTTATTATTTTCCTTGTGAGTAGAACTTATTGCTTGCTGTCATGTTACTAACTTCTTTATAAACAAGTAATTTCGTTTATTGTCGTACTTATTAACTGTCATTTATCAGTAAGTGTGTGTAATACAGTTTTCTTGAATAATTATTTAGTATGAGGAGCTTAGATCTTATATCATAGCTCTAAAATACGCGAACAGCAACCCAAAAAATACTCTTTTGATGCTCCTTTTCTTTTATGTCAAAATAAAGAGTACTATTTTATGAATTTTCATTTCCAATATGAACTGACAACCGTGTATTTTTGTTAAATACTGATAATTACATGTGCAGAAATACGTAAATTGAAAAATATTATTTATGTAATAGTAATTTGGCTCTTCATGCATTTATCTGTTATCCCATAATGTTGATAAGTTTGTCGACTTGAAGAAAGATTTAGTTTTGAGACACGATCGCAAATGAAAGGAATTATTTCTGTAAATTCAGATGTTCTCCTATCGGCCTTTATTCAAAAGAGCAAATACCGTTTGAAGCGACATGGTTAATGATATTGTTACTCGTATTTATTGTCACTTGCATTTGATTTGCAAGGCACTTGGGTTTTGCGCAGTTATGTACTTAAAGCGCAATACTTTTTTTACATTTACTATTTTCCGACGGAAAATACTAATATGTTCCATTACTATTACGATTTGAAGGACCTCAGCTATAACTACAATAAAAGGTGGACTTTAGGGAATTCATATTATAAAGAAAGATGGTGGTAACACCTAATACATCAAGCTAAATTCAGTAGTCGGCAAGGACCAACCGAGTGTCATTCGTAGTGGTAAATTGCCAATCATGATATAGCATTTTATTACAAAATAAAAACGAAATGTTTTTGTAATTTCTATAACAAAACTAAAAGTACATATGTTTTTGCATGCTTGTTAACATTAAATATTTTTCGCAGCATAGGCCAACGTAACTTCGGTCCAAAATCCGGTTAGCATGTTATCGCCCAGAAAAATTTATACCGCAAGTACTTTCTATGTCTTTTGTAATTTTGTCCCCAAAAATTGTAAAAACGATAAGTTGGTAAAAAAAAGGTTATTTTCGGTATTGGTGTTAAACGCAATTTATTGGCGTTCCAACACCAGTTAGAAAAATGTATTTTTAAGTTAGTTATTTAACCCCTTTTTAAATATTATTCACACGAGTATAAAAACATATGTAAGTGGGCACTACCCTTATTTGGATACCTCGTTATGTTTTAGAGGTTCGTGTTACATCCTTTTTCTCTAGACAATAAATGAATAACTGTTTACTTGTATTTAAATACTATGTATACCTTCATTTTATTATCCTTAGATCGCCCGACGGACTACCGGAACGACAGCTCTGGCAATGAGGGCAACGCTTTCAATACCGATGGCCAGAACTCCGACCCACAGAACAGTCCTCCACGTAGCGACAAAGACTACATGCGTTTGCAGTTATTGCAACAAACACAACAGCAATTGACTCCAGTGAGCGGTGGGGGTAACAGCGGCAGTGCTTTCACTTTTAGCGAGAAGCGTTCGCGTCTGTTTCGGTCATCGAGCAATACACCAAGTGGCGCTGGCAGCGGTAGTGGCGGCGGTGGTGCCATTGGCATGGGCATGAGTAAGAAAAAGCAGACGCTTAGCTTAACAGCTGAGCCACGTTCAGTATTAGAGACATGTCTGTCGCCGACAAATGTGGAACCGAGAAAACTGTTGCTCGATCAATTGAGCCGAATATTCGCCAGTGACGACACAAATCTTCCCGATGTGGTCACATTAATTAGCCCCCCTGAGGCGCTAAGTGGCAGTGCACTAATGCCCAAACTGACAACGTTGTTGGCAAACTCCTTCAAGCCAGCTTTTGTACCACAAAATACGGCGGAAGTGAAGGCGGTGCTCCAGGCGTTAATGGGCAAGATACAAAAATAGTAAGTCGAACGGTAGTGCGTATTCGATTTGATTTTTCATTTTGCCGCTTTTGCTTTTAGCTGCAACTCGAATGCGAAGCCACCGAATACGGTGAAAATATTACTATTAGGAGGCGATTGGCTGCAGGGCGCAGCCTTACGGCATTACGTCGAGTTGATGGGTGTGCGTCCCCCGGACTGGCTGAATCATTTGCGGTTCTACATTGTGCCGATCGGCAGCGGCAGCACAATAGCGCGTTATCTCAGCCAGGTGGATTTGACATATGGTGCCATGTTTGGTTCGGACAATTGGTATCAATTGTGCGAGCGCGTAGCGGCAACTGCGGCGGCGGTTAGTGCCGTAACGACGGTGAATGCCTCGGCGTTGTCAACGACGCTCGGCGACTCGGTTACGGCGAATAAATCCGACATTGTGGAGATGGTGCAACGCATACAGCGTTATTTACACGCCGCCGGACCATGCACTCAGATTCCCATTGGTGAGGCTATGGTCAATTACAAGGACGAGGATTCACGTCAAATATTCGTGCCATTCGTTAGTGTGAGTATCAGCAAACATGTTTATATGAAACTAATGTTAATTGACAAACTGTTGGCATATACAGGATGTGCGAATTGGTTATTTGGAGGGCCCACAAGTCTCACTCGATCTCGAAGAGAACGCCACGCAAGCTGGCGGCAATACTGGCGTGCAACAGTCGCTGAATATGTCCAGCGCCATACCCATTGGAAATTGCAATGCCACGAATTTATCTGGGGCCGGTGGCGTGGCTGGGTGCAACAACGCACCATCTGGTTCGCCACCCCAGAGCGGTAGGATCTCACCCCCTCAGCAAACGCCACCCTCGTCGGCTAACGCGCTACGTGATCGTGGTGGCGATTCGATTAACACACCCACAGCGCAGTCGAGCGCCGCATCCGAGTCGGTGGAATTGCAAGTGGATTATTGGCCCATTATTCGACCAGGTGATTACACACCCAAAGAAAAAAGTATAACGCGTAGTGGCGATCAGGGTGGTAAGAGTAGCATTAAGAGCACATTTAGGAATCTACAGGTTTGGCGGCTACCGCAGAATGCCCAATTAGGCGAAATGTCCCATGGCATGACAGTGAATTTCGCGACCAAAGAAAAGAAACAGAAACAAAGTAAGTGATCAGGTGATGCGCTCTCTTATTTTTGGTTACTAAATTCGGTGTATTTCCAGTTATGCGCCTAGGTAAGAAAAAGGAAAAAGACCGTGATCTTGAAAAGGAGCAGTGCGTCGAAGGTGTGGCGCGTTTGATTTGCTCCCCCAAACCGTCGCACCCAGTACCGTTAAGAGGTGAGTAAGGACATTAAATAGCTTTAAATGAAAAAATATTGAGATTCACGAATACGATTTTTATTTGTTTGCTGCTAATTAGTATTTACTCCTTATATGCATGCATCAACTGAGTAAATTCTTTTAGACTTAGTGTTTTCTTGAATAAATAGTCAAATGAATGAATGAATAATGAATATATAATTGATGTATTTGTAGTTTTCATCGATGGCACAGAATGGACTGGTGTGAAATTCTTCCAGTTGTCTTCGCAATGGCAAACACACGTAAAGAATTTTCCAATTGCTCTCATTGGTTGTACGCCAATGTCTTGTTCTGAGATATCCTAGTCATTTTAAAAACAATATTTAAACCGATAAAATATAAAATATTTAATAATTAATGTAACAATTCTACTTATATAATATCAGATAAATATGCATATAAACATGTAATAGCTACGTTGGTTATCATATTGTACGTAGTACTACTACTACTTACTTTAATAACTTAAAAATATTGTATTATATATGTTTGGAAATAGACTTACACACATCCAACACACATCCACATTCAAAAGGCCTTCGCAATTGCGTTCAAAGTCTCTATTGTGCAGAGACTTGTGCTTTCGGGACAAAATATAATTCGAAAAGACAATTATGAATTAGAAGGCAACCCCGCATCTTTTGTTTAATTAAGTCCAATAACTTATAGAATACGTGTAGGACATTGCGTGTCATCAATATGGTTGCCCTAGCCCTTTTGTTTGTCCACACTGCTATATAAAGATACACATATTTTTATTTTTAATCCATGTAAACGCGTTAAGAGACATATACATACCCATATACATTTATTTTTTATGTGTTTTAAATCCAATTTAGTTTTGAACTGATTGTAAAAATAAACAGAAGAATATTTAAAATTAAATGCGCTTACTTATATAACTCGTATGTATGTGAGCATATAAAATTTAAAGAAAACGAGGTGAATTACAAAACTAAACCATGCTTGCTAATCCTAGAAGTAGTTCTACAAAACATAAACATACATATATATAAATAGACCAATGGTAGTTACGCCGACAATGTGTTAAATGCAATATGAAACTTGAATCTCGCGATACAAGTATAGCATACAATTTATAGCTTCCTACTACCACCAGCCATATTGTAATACTAAATAATACTAAACGTTAAACACAAATACAGTACATATACAAGTTATCAGAATTTTAAAAGAGTGAAACGAAAGCGAAACGTAAATTAACATTAAAATGCCACCGTGTTCAGTGCGCTACGGTGACTGAACTCCAACGAATTTCCATCAATAAAACACCTGTATCAGAATATTTCCTTATTAAATATTAGATATTAAATAAACAAAATAAAAATCGAACATGTTATGAATTGAGGTAGCATAAAGTACATAACCGTTGACAATTCTACATAGATTGACGAACTTTTTGAACTCTTGATGTGCTGTAGCGTAAATTATCACATATTATATAGTCTGTTATGCAAAAGAAAATTTTGAAAAGACTCAAAAAACTGTATCAGAAGTTATTTAAGCTCCTGTATGTTACTCATTTTGTATAAATTGGTTTTTTCCCTTCCATTTGAATCGCAAACTTATTTATTTGGCTACATTCACACTTAAGTCGAGCTTCCTGTCAAAATCATCGTTGAAAAACTGGTACGAATAATTATTCAATACTCAGTAACTCAGTAATCGTAATAACAAATTAATTCTCATACATTTTAACAGAGGGAGAATTTTTTTCGTTGTTTTAAAAATTATCAACACACATCACAAACTATCATCCTCAATCTATTAACTGTACATAATATTATTTCCTTAAAAATATATCCCAGACAGCTAATATACATTTATTTTTATGATTTTTTCGAATTTATTTTTTATATAATTTTTTAGTGTTTAATATCGTCAGACTTTACAAAGAGACTGCGGAAACTAAACTCGGTCGTTAATTTAGTTTTTTATTCACTTAGATTATACGGATTGCAAAAACAAAAACATATGTATAAATAACTTCTTTGACTGGTTGTAGATTAAGGAAAACCAGTAATGAATTCGCATGTATGATTGTGGATTCCTTAATTGAAGAAACTCTTATAAATTGTAAAGAAACTTTAATTGTTGTGATCTAGAGTAAAAGTTGTAATGTAAGAACAGCAATATTTGTAGAGATGTCTATGTAGTTATCTCAAGTGCGATATGTAATATAAGTATATTTAGTAAAATGTTTATCCATAGCATTGTTTGTTCCAAATACTGAAAACAGTACTGCTGGTGCGCATCGTAATTTGTTTGTTGTGCTCCAAATTATGTGGTTGAACTTTGAACTTGTGGTTGGATCTGTCTTCACATACAAAATTTTTAAATTACTATATATGTATACTCGTATATATGTACTCCATGCATGTACATATGCCCATATATGGCAGTTGCTCTCGTTCCATAAGTTCTGTGAATGTTTATTAGAGTGCATACATAAAAATTTGCATATATATTTAAAAATTATAATTATAAAATATATACATACTATACTATATATACCTAATATATACATATATATACCTTAAACTGTAAAACATTAATATCACTTATTTAAAACATTAAACATTTAAATTAGAAGAGACGAAATTGTAAGCGTTTCGTCAGTGAGAAAGGTGCGAGTAAGAAATATGCAATATAAGAGAAAGTGATCATTTATAGAGTGAAAAGAGAAATTCAAATAAAAAAAAAAACATAAAAATTAGTCTATAGACATTTTTAATATAGCAAAGAAATAATGAATAAACAAAAGATAAGACTTGAAATAATACATAAAAATATAATTTCAATGTGTTCAGTGCTTTATTTAGATTTCCAGAATACATTATATTTAATTTTGAATTTTCTTTTATTTGTTTGGGTTTGTATAAATACGCATTCGTTAAATTGTGCATTGCCAGCGCGTGAGGCGGATAGTTGTGAATTTTCAAGTGATCAAATACAAGTATGTGTTAGTGCTTCGTTGTTGCAGCATTGTTTGCCAGCGATTTGTGTGTACACATTTAATAGCAACAATAGAAAATATAAAAGCCGAAAGACGCCAACCATGAGCACGTATGTACATTACATATTCCCTATTTATGTCCACATTTCTGTATCGAGTTCTCCATTTGTATGTGATGTAAGTACAACTGTCTCCATTGCTAACTCAAAACTCCAATATATTAAATTTCTCGATACACTTAACTTGACGAATGTCAGTAAATATTCTCCTTGAGTGAGCTCCAATGCAAAGTAATTGAAATCAAGATCGCATTAGCCTTGTATATTGAGTGCATAAATACTGGACCTCTGTTCGAATTCTGACCACAACGAATGTAATAGGGTCGAATTGCTAATACTATTTCTCCTGAAAATATCTAAGTTAAAACTTTTAAACAAGTCGAAGTGGCTTCAATCTAGATCCGGTCTAAGCGCTAATCCATTATAAGTGTATGCATATAAAATACATTAATATTATTTGGTCTCAGTTGCCTTGTCCATATGTTTATTTCTTTTTTGAAGAAATAATAAATTACATATCGTCTCTGTGCAAACAAAAAATCCGGACAATAGTGTTGATAAAAAAAATTGGTTTCTCAATGATTTTGTATCGACAGTTCAGTCTAAAGAAATTCCGCACTATCAACTGTGAAAATTATAATCAACTTTTGTGGCTAAATAAATATATGATTAAAAAGTTCGTTTTATTTAAAGTACGTATAATTAAACGAAAGTTATAATATTGTGATTGACTGAATTTCGTGGGAATTAATTGTAACACAACAAACTACATATACATAATATAAGTACATATATGCAATATTTAACTGAATGTTTATATTCTTATACGTAGTGAAGTGCTTATAAGCCGTTTTTGGAAACGCGTAAAGTTATAAAATGTAATAAAGTTGAAAAGCTGTAAAACTTTAATAGTTACTAAGTGTATTGACAAACAAAAATAAAAAATAAATTAATTAATACTAAATAAATACATACATATATATATATATATCACTATTTAAGAGTTCCAATTAAAATCCGTGTTTTAATGCTGCGATAAGTTTGTAATTAGAATTTTTTTCTCTTTAGTTTGGTTACATTTATTCTTTTTGCAAATAACATGGCAGTTTGTAGAAAATAAACCTTAATATTTCAGAGTATAATTGGAGGAACAGCTAAGGTTAGGGACTTCTTCCTTTTCTCGAATAGATAAATAAATTTTCTTGCGGTAACATGTTTACAATAATGGCACGTTCTCTTAAACCTAAATCTCCGCCAATACCACCGGGTGGTAGTAGAAAATCACAATCAGGATAACCTTTCGGCTGTTCGAACTCTATAAGATTGGCATTACTATCACTTAGAGATCTCATTGACCAGACTGCCAGATTTTTCGCTTTTCCGTGACGCGCCAATGTAAAGAACTGCAATTTTCATAAATATATACAGACATACTTGTACATATCTATTTGCAAATATGTGTAGTAACAGTTAATGTTATACTAACCTGATTATTCTCGTTTACCAAGTACCCGATGATGAGTGCCCAATGAGCTTTATGACCATATTTTAGGCAAGGTGAATGATTGTAGTCAGGATCGTATCTATTTATGTGTTAAGGAAAATTTGGTTTTGCTGGTCTTTTGACATTGTAGTAGTAATGATAAAAATACATTTTTAACTTTTGACTGTTAAGCACATATTTATTTTATTTAATTACATGATTACATTCTAAGTTTTAAGCATTTGCTTTAGCCTACTCTCATGGGGGGTGACACCAAAATTACACCGTCTCCACGCACAAAAAGCATTGGAATTGTTCGTTTTGTGGTTTTATATACTTCCTCATAAGTTTCTTCATCAATTTCTACAGTAGTTACTGTTTCTTCAGCATCGCCTAGCACCATGTTCAAATGTTGATCGAACGCCTGCAAAATACACCAGATTTGTATTGGAATAGTTTTGGGCTGCAAAAGCCGTACACCATACACATACACATATAGCTTCAAGACTATTTAGTGTTTTATAATTCATGCAATAATTAATCCACTACACCTTTGTTTTAATATTTAAATAAAACTTTTTTAGTGCTAAATATTGCTTCACTTGTGTATTTGGGGAATTTGGATGCTTGATTCCCATTTTTTCCCAAATCAGTTGCGGCAGTTAACTCTTGTGGTTCTCTTAGAGATTTATATTTGTGACTACGATTTTCACTTGTACTTACATGAAGACGTCCTCGTAGTTCGCGTTCATTTCGCATCTTTACATACACTTTTTCATCCAAGCTAAGTCTAATCAAGTCGAGCGGCTCCTTGACCGGCAGTACCTGTATCTGATAGGCGAATAAAGGAGGTGAGAGGAATAAGAAACGAAATAAACTTTAATGACTTACTTGCTCTTCTTCTGTTGCCATTTTATACAAATGTTACGTTTTAATAAATAAAGTATTATAGATTAATTCAAACTAAATAAAATTTAATCACACCAAATAAAGCAACTTAAGAAACGCGCAAACGTCAAACGGACCTTTTGGAATGTCAAATGAACTGTCAGAAGGTTGTCACAAATCAGCTGTTTATTAAAAGTTGTTCGCTCAGATATCGGTTAGATTATGTGTTAGACATATTTAGCGAAAGCAGACGTGCCATTCCGGTACATTGTATAAATCTAGGACTATACAATGTTCCGGTATTAACTAAAGATAATTAGCAGTTTTATTTTATCAAAACACATTTGAGCGATCAAGAATATTTTAAACATGTACTTATTTGTATGTTTGAAAAAGGTCAGTAATCTGTACACGCACGACACATCGCTTAGACCCTCACATGTTCCACATTTAGAATGTGTATACGCGTATTTTAAGACTCTTACGTAAAGGATACGGTACAAAAATGCAAGCACCCGCCTGCAATGCTGATCTGACCTTGGCACAGTCAAGTTGGCCTTGGTGTAACTCGCAATGCGCTGCCGCCAACGTAATATGGCATTCATTGGCCGATGTATTATTCGTTGTGGCTTTTGTTGTTTTTATCACTTCGGCTATAGAAGAATTTGCCGATTTTAGAGTATCACAAATAAGTTGAAAAAAGTTTTGTGCACTAAACATTTCGCCATTGTTTGTATAGCCAAGCTTCCTAGCAATCTGTAAGAGTTCGCTAGGATTTGGTGTACCATTCAAAAGCATGCTTAACGCAGTTAGACCACAGGTGGGCCCTTCTTGTAGAATAGTGGTCACTTTGCGAAGCTGACAATGTTGTGGAGCCGTGTCCTCACATACCCGTGCCAGAAAACACGCTTTTTGTAACTCGGGATATTCCAGTGCCCAGGTACATGTTGGCAATTGTTGTTGTTTGGGCGGCGGCAGATATTTCTTAGCAATGCTTGGCGGATCAAGAGCTGGTGGCGGTGGAGTGGCGGGCAATGTTTGCGACATTAGGCTTTTCTATTTTATAGTGATTATATAATAGCGATGACCTTACACGCAAACAAAAATGCGCAGCAGTTTTTCATGCACGGTATTTTTAGCACTACCTCATATTAGTTCGTTCACGCTCTACTGGTTACTCACTTTTCCCACGGCCTACATTCGTGTCGGATCAATCAGAGAACGTCTAATCAACACGCAAGCAAACCGATTTTTGTTCAATTTCTGTATGAGAATTTCGTAAATATTTACGAATTTAGGGTAAAAGAAATGATGAAATTGCAGGGCGCCACCTGTGAGTTGCAACAAATAATATAGAAACGTAAAGGGGAAATGTAACGTGTATGAAATAGAAATGTTTAATTTAATTTGAATTTCGACATTTTTTATTTATGCTTCTAAACAAAATACAAAATTATAAATATTAAATTATGAGGTTGTAGAATTTGAATTATTAAACTAGATAGCTGATCTACAATTAAACTTATTACTAATTTCTCTTTCTTCTAGAGGACGGGGATTTTCTTTTCGAGCTCCGCCATAAATTCATTATATGAGTCTTCAGTGTGGTGTTCTCGATGGGCCGTGATATATTGTGGCGAAGTAAAGGTTCGCTGGAGCTGGGGTTATAGGATTGCTCAGTGAAAGCTTCTAGTGAAGGCGTTTGGTCAGTAACCACTGATGCGTTTTGGTTTTTTAGGCTCTCAGCTCCTTCTTCTGTTGAGGATTCGAGAATTTTCCGGGTGTGCCTAGGAAAGTATTCTTCATTTTGATTCACTGGGGTTATTTTGATGTAATTGTCTTCGCTTGAAGGAATAGTTTTTAAGATTTTTGTGCACTCTCCTTTGCCTAGTATCTTCCATGCTGCAAAATGATAAAACCCGTAGTTAGAAATATACTTATGTATGTACATATAAACATGTATTAAGATTGTAACAAAATTGTAGTTCAAGTTGGTTGGACTTTGGAACTCACCGATTCAATTAACCTATTGGTTCCATAAAATACATTACAATTTTTTTATTTGCAACATGGTACTCACTGTTTAAATTATTTCTACAAATAGCGTGATCCAGATGGCATTGGTTGATTATGGTGTAATTAACACCATTGCGTGTGATACATATGGGATCATAGTCTGTATTACAATTCAAGACACATCTTCGGCATTTGCCCTCGTTAATCACAACCCAAGCTGTTGAATAAACATAAACAACAAATTCGTTAAATTAATTTAGTTGCTTTGTTTTGAGCTGAGCTGTAGAAAGAAAGAAATGCTTCACTGAGGATATTACTACCCAACCGTACATTTGTTTTGTATCAGAACAAATATCACAATCACAAGCATCGCATTTAAGCTCAGGTGTCTCAGTTAAATATTGTCAAATACACACAGCCTTAAGGACATATTATATAATTTTAAGGATCATACAATTTAAATTATACTAGCAGAGATTTTCATTTAAATATGGTATATTTCCCTCCTTACTTGTCAATACTCACCTTCATTTAAAATGATATTCCTTAGCAACAGCTCGCAGATATTTTCAAATCTATGCACCGAGTATTGCGATGAACTCCCACAAACTGGACCAGCGCCAAATTTACAGACCGGCACACGATCGCTAACAGCCGGCAAGATGCGTATATTATGTGGCATTGCGTCCAAGGAAGACTGTTCGCTATGCCCCGCTCCAAAAGGCTGGTTGTACTGCAATATGCTTCTCATTAGTCCTCCATGTGAACTGAAAACATCCTCATTCATATAGTTTGTGTTTTCTATGTTTGGTGTCCACAAGACATCACTGTTCAATTGCTGCTCGGGTGCGTTCAGTTGGAAGGTAACAGTCGTACTGGCCACTGTACTGCGCTTGCTAATTTCATTTTTGTGTGTTTCAGAACTCGCGTAGTCTTCTGCGCAGATGCCCTCCGAGAAAATGTTCCATTCTGTAAAAGGGATAAATGGGCTTTACTCCTCAGCAGCGCTGGCTCGGTATTTTTGGTATTTATCTTGTGTGTGTGTGTGTCTTCTTCATACCTTTGTTCAATATTACGTTCTCTGCATTCACAAGACATTCGTTGATAAATGTCGATTTGACGCCAAAGAGTTCAGCGCAGACCGGGTTAAATATCTTGGGGCATGGTATGGATTTTCTAATGATCTCTTTTCTTACATTTTGTCCATGTTTTATTTTTTCCTTTAGGTTAAAGGGCTTTCCTTTAGTTGCTGTAAGTGGAGTAGTTTGGGTGGTTGAGGCTGGAAAAGTAGGAGCTGAACTTTTCAGCAGCTTGACACAAGCATCATCGTTTATCAATTGCCAATCTGAAATATGGACGAAATTTCGAAATTTAGACAACAAGAAATAGAGTCAAGCGTGTCTTTGACATAAATAGGTACTTGATATTTGGGCGAGTAAGTTATGGATAGGATTTGATTACGACTGTGAAAAATTATTATTTATTGAGCGTTTACTTCAACTTTTGTATCGTTAGTCGAGTTATAAGTAACACAGGCTCTTGCGCTAATGCGAACTCTTTAAGAGCTTGTCATCCAACAAGAAAATATTCGCATTACTAAATAAATAAGAGAAAACATACTAGTCATACAATGATCTTAAAGTGCTGTGGTACTCTGCCATCGTGCACCGTCCATTCATTTTGCAACCACATGTGTATAATATAGATAGTAGTTGTACAGTTATGCTGTGCAATTGCCCAAATTAAACTGTTAAAGACAAATAGAAGCTCACCATTGCCGTTAACGCATACATCGCGCGCCATGTCACAGAGTCCACTAAAACTCCGAACTTCGCCACTGTTTACATTTCTGGCACAAATCGCCTGCTCGTTGCCTTCACAAATTATAAGGCCGCAGCTCGGCCGGCAGAATCCCAACGCAATTTCCCTAAAAACTTTTCGCATAAAATATTAAAAATTAAAAATACAAAAAAAATTGAAATATTTAGACTGAACGGAAAATGAGAAAAAAAAATAAAGAGTGCAGAAGTGACAACAATGCAAGCAATTTCGGAAACTAGTACATTAATCGCGCGACACAGTGGCACATAAAGCTCGTGCTGCACAGGTGGGTGGAACTCACCGGGCTTCGCATCCCCTGTGTACGAGTGGTGGCGCTCACGGTTGGTTTGCCTCAGCAAACATTCGCTGCCAAAAAGCACATAGTCCACACCGTTCGCCGTGGCACAAACAGGCCGCCATCTAGGGCTGTCTTCGTCGCCACAATTTGTCAACGCTGTGTCCATCAACAACGGCAGTGGAGGTGGTGCTTGAAGCGGCGGCTGCTCACTGGATGCTGAGGTTGTGCTGTTGCTGCTGCTGCTACTGACCGTGGCCGCACTCATCAGTTGGGTGAACAGTAGCCAAAAGTGAATTGCGGCGTAGGCGACGCGTTGACCCGGGGGCACGTGCAGTAAACCATGCGATGCCAGCATTGTCTCCTCTGGGTATTATATTGGAGCGCTAAAGCAGAGCTGTAACTGTAACTGTGTTGTAATAGTATTGAGCGTGTGGCGACAAATATAAAACCGCGTATGGCAGTGGTTAGAATTCACTGGTTTGACGTTGCACGTCTGTGCTGCAATGACTTTATGTTTCGCCTTGACTAATCGTCAGCTGCTGTGATCGTAATGGTTTTATATGCACTCCGCAGCTGCAATGAGGTAGCTAGCTGTATCGCACGTTCTCAACTGTCGCTTGAACTTTTCATATCAAATTTTCACATGCTGAGATTGTGTTACGTTGCACCCCTCCAGCGACCTGAAAGTCACAAACCAGCTGCTATGGCGAGTGCGTGAAATTCTTTTCGGTTTCGCGTTACTGCAGAAGGTGCTCGCGCACAGCCAGCGGCCATTAATTTTCCAAACTTGTGCTGCTCTCCAGCTTTTACTCGCTACTCGCTCGCATGCAATTGTGCCGCCGTGTGCATGCACAGTGCCAACCGCATCGTAAATGCTACTTATGTATTTTGCTGGGTCAGGTGTTGTGGCGATAATTGTGTTGATTCCATATTTTCTTGTCTGCTGCACACAAATGCGCCATTTCGCATTTGGGTTTGCTTTGGCGTTGTCGCGTTGGAGCTTTATCGCCACGGTGCTTGGCGGCGATGTTGTCGGTGGGTACGTGATTTTTTTGACATTTTTGTGCCATAAGATTGTTGGCTAACGCTTTTAACGGCGGGTGCCGTTTTGTGGCGTTGTTTATCGCTGAAAATATTAGTTTGATGTTCCCAATGCATATTCAGCAAGTTATTCATTCATAAAATTCTTATCTGCACACGATTTGCTCTACTTGATAACTTTATGGAGAAATTGGTACAAATCGTTTTAACTGCTGCGAACGAATTTGGGCTGGCAAAGTCAATGACATTTGGGTAGTCGAGTGGTTATCAGCGATTTCCAGAAGTATGGTCCTGTGTTTATCCCTGTATACCATAAATGAAACTAAGTTGTGTATTTAAAACTCAAGAACGATTTAACCGATTTGAATAACCTTTGATTTGTTGAATTGCTTTCCATTTAAAATAATAGAATACCTAATTAAATATCTGAAAGCATCACTTAAAAAATGTGTAGATATATCTAAGTCATTCATTTATTGTTAGATTATACAAGGTTTGCCAGGTTAGCGTGTATATAGATCAGGCTTGTGAATTTTTAACTCGAAGATTTGAGATTGAGAAAGAAATTAGTTTAATTTTTAAGTTATGATGTTAGGATTGAAAATTATGAATCTAATTTCAAAATTAAAAATCTAATATTTAATTTAAAGATTTTGGGATTAAAAATTTACATGTATATTTTTTATCATAAAATCAGAATTAAAAACTCATAAAACATGAATCATTTGAATGTGTAAGTTTACCACCAGTGCTCTAGAGTACTAAAGATGACGGCTTTGTGTGAGCACTAGTTTAAAACAAGGTAAAAAGAAAAGAAGTTGAGATGATATAATACTCTTCACAAATACAAAGGCTCTTTACAATAACTTGATTCCGATTGTTCAATTAGTATGGCAGCTATATGCTATAGTGATCTGATCTGATCAATTCAATTCAATTTCTGCGGAGCCTTAAACAATAACTCATGCCTAATTTCGTGAAGATTTTATGTCAAATAAAAAAGTTTCTTATATAAGTACTTAATTACGATTGTTCAGTTTGTATGGCAGCTATATGCTATAGTGGTCCGATATCGGCCGTTCCGACAAATGAGCAGGTTCTTAGAGACAAAAGGGCAAAATTTCAGATCGATAGCCTAAAAACTCAGAGACTAGTTTGTATATATACAGACAGACGGACGGACGGACAGACAGACGGACATGGCTAAATCAACTCAACTCATCATGCTGATCATTTATGTATATATTTTATATTGTGACAAACTTCGTGGCAAACTTAATATACCCTGCTCAATTTATTTTATTAATTTTTAATTATATGCTTTTGATTAAACACTTATTTTTTATTTTTCAATCCAGTCTTCGGGATAAGACTGTGGTTGTTCAATGCTTAGCAGACTAGTCGAAGGTCTCACACCGGACATCGAACTCACATTCTCTCTCACATTCGTACTACATTTAGATACCGGATATTTGGGAATGCTAAGCAAAATATTCGATATAAATAGCTGCGTATGGCTCGACACACTGTTTTCTATAGAAGAGCTTTCCATGAGCTTTTTCATATCAAGCGCTTTAAATCCAGGTGTACTTGCTTGTTCGATGTAAACTGTTTACAATGTTGACTTCTTAAACATTTCCAACAATACAAACTGCGCTTAGGTAAAATATTACAACGAATATTTGTACTTTCAAGACAGACCGTTAAAAGCTGAGTAACTGTAGTTGCAACGTCACAATCTACCAATAAATTATATAACTTTTTCTCTAAAAATATATTATATTGTTTGTGTAGAATAACGGTTTATCGATTGAAACAATAAAAGTTTGAGCAGTTTGCTTTATTTCTTTTCTCTATGTTTCCACTTCTCAACTTTTGATCGATGGGGACCATGGCATCCGTTATGCTCAGCACGCTCACGTTGACACACAACAACTTCGAAATTTCCCTTGTTTTAAACAGTAATTTTGAAAAGATAAAATGTGCGATAATCATTGAAAAGATTATAAAAACAAATATATAAATATAATATAAATAAATAAGCGACGGTGAATCACGCTCTCTTCCATTCACATTTTATTATAGATTTGTTATGTGTGCTGTGCAGTCATTGCTTCGAAAGTTTTGTGTTTTACTTGGACACTCACGATATGACATATTTATTTGGCTTAAACTTATTTTTTTTTGTTTTTATTTCAGCGAAAGTAGATACTTATGGCAGCAATTCAAGTGAGTATGGTTTTTCGTCTTTCTGGCAGTTATAACTCGTTTAACAAGGAAGAAGAGGAGCAGGTGCAATTCTGCGTGCAGTAAAGATTTCATAATATTTAGTATAATATATAATTTCAGTACTATTAAAATCGAGAAGCGCAGCCGGTAACAATATCCTGCTTGCATATTTCGGCTTCAGGGCGTATACGTAACGTTTGAATAGCGGAAAACATTGCCTATTGAAGTAAAATGATGAACGCTATATTCTGACAAGGAACGGTCAGGCATCTGTCAAGGGTGCAATCTTTTGCATTTTAGTTTAAAAAAACTAACAAACATATTTTAAGTATTAAAACAATTCATCATGTATAGAAAAAATGCGTTTGTTTAGACAACAGAGCTTTTTTCAGCCAATCACCAAATTGAATTGTTGCAATGCTTTGATGCCCGAAGAGGGCTTTATTTTCTCAAATTGTGTTCTCCAAGCAACAATTTATACAACAACAATAACAGAGTGTGAGTGCTCTCTTCATAGGACAACTTTTGTAATTTGTATACAAGCACTCATATTTCATTATGCTGTTGCCTCTTCTCGTCTTTTCGCCTCCTCTGCACTTCGTTCCTCGTTCTTTTGTGAAAAATTGCATTAGGAAGCAAATGTGTCTAACTTTTGCATTTGCTGGCTGTTATTGCCGTCGACATTGTTGTTGATGTGAATGTACCGAGCAATGACGCTGGTCATTTAATAATAATCATTGCAGCATTGTTGTTGCAGCTGTTGCGCCACGTTGCGCCACGTTGCGCTGTTGCTGAGCCATGAGCTGTTGCTCACTTTGTTGATGACATTCACTTAAGCGCAAAACAAAATGTTGAATGCAGCAAACTATTTCCGTCGTCGCATCACTGCTCTTTTGCTGCTGCAAACTTTTTGCTGTCACATTGCCCGAACATTCGCGTTTGTCTCGCCACCTCCCCATCTGCCCAACTTCTTCCGCGCAGTTATTTCATTGAAAGAAGCTTGAACTCCGCACGAAAGTGCTGCGTAGTCAGGGCACGGCGCTGGAAAAGTTGGACACTGGCGTTTTCATTTTATTCTATAATCATTTCGCTTCGCCCGAAGACGACTCATAAATTCTGCCAAACTATAAGTGACATCGCCTGAGTCCTCCCGTGTGACATAGCCGTTGGCGTGGGTGGACGGCGGTCTACTTCAGCTGCCCTGGCGTGCAATGTTGGAGGAAGTGCGCGCTTGTAGCTCAGCACTTGCAACAATAACAGCTGCTTCTGCTACGACAACAACAATGCGCTTGTGACGCAAACGAGCGGCTAGCGGTGAGCAGCGAGTAGGTGACGTGGGGTTAAATAAACTAATTAAGACAAGTTTGCCGTCATGCGCCATTACTGTTGCACCAGAATGTGTGTTAAATCGTTGTTGGCGGTGTTTTCCGGGGAGACGGTGCATATTAATCTGCGCTCGCTGTAATGTGCCTTGTAAAAATCAAAATTCCTCTTTTTTCGCAGTGGAAGACCGGTAGTTTCGCAGTTTTTCAGTGGATGGCCACTCCACTCGAATTTCATTGAACACTTTTTACCGGTATGCCATGAAAATCTATTAAAATACTATTACTTTGCTTTTATTGAATTACAATATGCCACTTTTTACTGAAGATTTAATACTGACATTTGCTTTTAATGGACCGTACAACCAAGTTACTCACCGCAGCGTTCTTTTCATGGTGCATCAAAAACTTTACCCATTTTGACGAGGCTGACATTTATAAAATATCACGATATAAACTTGTAGTACAGCGAATGGGATAGCTTGTTGGACTTCGTTGTTGGACAAAATTTAAAAAATATTACACAGTGCAGACACATTTAATTTACTTAATGGTTATTTGTAACATTTAAATAAGACATAAGGGGAAGCTATATACTCAATGGTTTTGAATTGCGAGACGAATTGAGTTTCGGTGCAGAAGTGTGCGATATGGATCAGTTCATAAATTGGACAATTGGAACAGCACACTTTTAGGTGAAACTTCATGCCTTAAAAACAAATCGACCAAATTTGGTTTTCTCCCAAGTCCTTTTGACACGGTTTGAAAACCAGCTATTAGTAAAAGTATAGAGTGAGAATTATTCAAATTCAATTCAGACGTGTCCCTAGCCCCCATATACTCAGATTAAATCGGTGCAATATAACGACTTTCATCCCTGTGGAAATATTACGGGCTTGCCATAGTAAAATCGATTGGATCA